TACGACAAACTATTTCCCCCACGGACATGGATATATTATGTATCATGATGGTATTTAATTATTCGATCGTGACATAAACATATATCATGGTCATGCAAAACAGATACCATGTAGGCAAGTAAGTATCATTCTGAAATATCGTGGCATAGTGACTTGGCATGCGACCTTGACCATATTTTAGTAGAATATTTTTTTTGTTTGAAGATACATTAAAATGGATATAATTGCAAAGATGATATAAAATCGGAATTTTTTGTATAAAGATAATTGAATTTTGAATTGGAACGAAGAACATACGAATGGATGAAATAGAATTAAGAAAAAGAAAGAAACTGAATCAAAGACAAAGGATTAATCAAGACATCTTACGTTTTCTTTCTGGTTCTTTATTCCTTCTCCTCCTTGCTTCTTGTTCTCACTTATGAACTCACCCAACATATTTATAGTCCCGGTCCTGGGCTCCCAACTCAAAGGCACACACAGCCAAACTTTTTATAACTGAAGAGGACTAGGAGGAGGCAACACAGGATGAGTGAAGGAGGAGGTTACTTGAACCAAAAAAAAAAAGATTAGTTTGGTTGCGTTTATTGCTTTGTTGAGATTACTTCTGCTAACAAAAATGTAATTCAACCAACTGAAAAAATTACTAATCAGTCATTCAACGAAATCTTAATCTTAATCTTAATCTTAAAACATTAAAGAATTTTCAGATTTTACTCCCTCCATGCCAGCTATCGCAACCGCCCCTCGAAATCGACCTTACATTGTAGTGGGTCGAAGACTATTTGGCCCGACTTTGACCTTAGGGTCAAAACCGAGATTTGGTCTGCGAAATTTTAGAGTTTTGGGTTCGGGAGTACGGTTAAGTGTGGGGAAAAAAGTTTTGGTTAGTTGGACTCGAACCTATTGGTTACCTACGTACCCGAGTAGTCGGGATCAAAGTCCACGTAGTACTGTTAAGTGATTGGTTTTTAAGAGGAAAACCCAACACATTCTATTGATCGTGTTTAAGGCTTGAGATTTTAAAATGATGGATCAAATTTCGATCCTTTGGAAATCCAGCTTGAGACTTTAGAAGAAACTTAACACGAAAATGCTAATATGGTATATTGACCATCGACATTTTGTATTAAGGTGTTTTAAAAAGTTTAGTATACAGATTTATAAATATAGATCGATTCACATTATTACGTGAACAAGTGGCAGGCGATCAGCCTAATGGTTTAGAATGTTGACTGAAATTTATGACGACTTTAAGGTCAATGGTTCGAAACTTAGAAGAGACGTCCAGGTCGTTTTGAGGGTTTGTTTGGGTCGTTTAAAGGGGGAAGGTGGCAGTTGGCGTAATAACCTAAGAGCCGATCATCCCCTCTCTTCGCTCTCGCTCTCTTCTCTCCAGCAAAAAAAAAAAAAAAGATCGACAAAAAAGGAAAAACTCGATGCCGGCAACGGTGGTTAGAGTACAATAACCCGACGGTGGTCACGATTCTCCTCCTACCTCCTTCCCTCTACCCTCGTTTACCTTTTCTACCCTTTGACCCCTTTCGATCTGCCCCCCCCCCCCCCCACCAATCTCTTCTTTGTGATAACGACAACAAGCTGAGAAAGAACAAACGACGACGATGGTAAGACCGACAGTTCCTGACGCCGGCGACGGTGACAGGCAGACGAAGGTAAGATCTAGATTATGGGTTTGCATGTCAAGCTTGGAGGTTCAATTTCGACTTTGAGCAAGTGTCTTATATGTGTTTCTTTTCTGATTTCTGGTTTTTTGAGATACGGTCAAAAAGGGAAGAGAAAGAGGTTGTCGGCGGCGGCTATAGAAGGAGTTCCGGAAATCAGGGGAACATCGACGACGGTGAGGAGAGGTGGTGCGTGGGACCGGCGGCGACTCCCTCGTCGACGACAGAAGGGTAAGATTTTTTTATTCTGGTTTTCATGGAAAAAAAATTTGGCATTCTTGCTCTTTAATATTCTTATTATTTATTTTGTTTTTCTTTGTCGGTCTGATTGATGGCAAGGGAAAGAGAGGCAGACAAGTGAGGGGATAAATGGCCGCCGTCGGAAAATCTATATTTCGCCGGCCCCGACAACAATGACAAAAGGGTGAGTTTGTTTTGGTAATCTTTATTTCTGGCTCTGTTTGCTAACCGGGTTTGAGATGTTCAATTGATTTGAAAATGATTATGGTGGTTTACCGTTCGAAATATGTGTAACTCAAGAAAATTTGGTATTAGCTTGATGGCTTTATGGATTTTGATGTGGAAATTTGTGGGTTTATGGTAGTTCTAATGGTGGAGATTCGGATTAAGAGTGAAGCTCCTTTTAAACCCAGATTCAACTTGTATGACTCTGTTTTGTTAGTTAGGGGAAAACTTGATTGGTTATAATGGTTTTGAACCCTCCAAACAGAAAGTTTCTTTTAAGGTTTCCTAAACATGGTTAAAACAAAGGAAATCAAAAGTATAGAAGTTACATGTTAAATGAAAAAACCACTGCTATTTCTTGTGATTAAGAAGTCTTATATTGTATTGTCGTGGTATAGGTTTGAATGTTGTAGACTTTAGTGAGTGTTTATGGTTTTGGTAAAGTAGGTTTTAAGATTAGAAGGGGCTCCCTTTAAAACCAAAGAGGCATTCTAAAATACCTCCCTAAGCTTGAGTTTATGTGGAATGTTTCTATTTATTGGCTTGCTTGCTACCATTTTAATATCTATGTTCTGATAAGTTGAGATGTTAAAAATCATACCGGATATGAAACAAACTCAGTAAAGCTTAATCAAACAGGGCATCACAAGGAAAATAGTCAAAGTCTTAATGAGAATACATGGATGATGAAACTGATTAGAGAAACACTAAATCTGATTTTTGTAGGCTTGTGTTGACAAAATATTTATCATGGTGAGTGAAGTTGTCTTATTGTAGGGAGTCTTTGAGTCGATTGAGTGTTTCTCGAGAGCTTTTTTTTATAAAGGTAGAAGAATGGAGGTATGTAGGGCTGCAAACGAGCCGAGTCGAGTCGAGTTTTTGTTTAGCTTGAGCTCGGCTCGTTTATAAATTTTTTAGCTCGAGCTCGGCTCGAACTCGAATTTTTATCATCCAGCTCGAGCTCGAGCTTGACTCGATTAAAAATAATCTAGCTCGAGCTCGGCTCGATAAAGCTCGGTAAATGCTCATTAACACAGCTTGTCAAGCTGAGTACAAGCTCGGCTCAAGATAAGCTCGATTTGAAACCATTCTTGCTGAAAAATGTGTACAAATAAGAACATTAGAAATTAAAAATGATAAAAACAACACTAAAAATTAAAAATAACATCTAACTTCCATACACATCCTTATTAACAAGATAATTTTCATGTTCAGAAAAGTAATTAATCCTTTCACAAGTTTTAAACAAACATAATATTCATGTTCAGAAAAATAATTAATCCTTTCACAAGCTTTAAACAAGCCAGCTCGCGAGCTTAGCTCAACAAGCCACCGAGTCAAGCTAGCTCACGAGCTTATCAAGTCGAGCATGGCCTAGCTCAAGCTTGGCTCGTTTACTAACGAGCCAGCTCGCGAGCCGGCTTGTTAAACAACGAGTCGAGTGTCGAACGAGTTTTTTCCGATTCGAACGCCGAGTTGCTCGCGAGCGGCTTGGCTCATTTGCAGCCCTAGATGTATGGATATGATGATTGGTGTTGGTGTTAGCGCCTTCTCTTTGTTGTCTACTTCTGACATGTGCCCCACCTCAGAACTTGCTTTTACTGTCTTTTCTTGTTTCTATTTCTCTATGTCGTTTGTAAGGAAAAGGAAAAGAAAAAAGTAAAAGGTTTCCTCACCATTTCTTTCTAGAATCTGTTGGTTAAAGGAAAGAGGAAAAAGAGAGGAATGCTATCTTTTCAATGTTCTCTCTCTTTGGAACTGTCTGTTTATTGTAGGAAGGAAAGAAAAAAAAGGAGGAAGAAGAAGAAGATATTTTGATCAGCTTACCCTTATCTGTTGTGTTTGTCCGAAAGCAGAGCCAAGGGGCTTCTTTTATAGCCAAAGTTGACGGGTCGGGTAATTTTGGTTGGACCAAACCGTGTTGTTTTCTAGTCGAACCGAGTTGATTAGTAGGCTTGTTCATAAAATGACCTTGTGCTTGGACTGTTGTTGACCTTGGACCTGACTTTGGACTTGATTTGTGTTTGGTTGACCTGATTGGGCCTTGATTCAACCTTGGGCTGGCCGGTTGACTTGCATTGACAAGAGTTGACTGCTGCTTGGGCTTGGACTTGAGCCCGATTTTTTTATTATATAATTATAATTTCTTTTGTTGTACAATTGTAATTAGTTTAATGTAATAACAAATTAGCAGGGGAATTGGTTGTAATTGTTATGCATTGTAATCATGATTTAGTTATTTAGTATTGTATTTATCTTAATATAATTTATATGAGTTTTATTTTATTATTTAGAAATTGCACCCAATTTCACAAGACCCAATGTTTTAAGAATTGGTCACTTGCATGACAACCAAAATCGAACTCAAGTCTAATTCGTCTAAACACGTCAACTCCGTCACTAATAGGTCGTACCAACTGAGATTTGTTATTGCTAATCTTATTGACTAATTGCAAACTGGACTCAACCCAAGCATTACAAGTATGTTTAAGCTTGAAGGTCATTCAAGGTTTGCTATAGCAAACCTTAAACTGAATCTAAATTTTAATTGATTAAATATGTTTTAACCTGGACAAAAAAGTGGTGTCTACACCAGCCTTCCTTGCTTCTCTGTACTTTTCGTCTTCAACCGTTTTCCACTTCTTTTTGAGGATCCCTCACACCGTTTATAAAAGTGCTATTTATTCCTTCTTTTTTTTCGAAAATGTCTTTCTCCCCTATTATTTCTCACAAAATGTTTTTTTTTTTTGTTAATTCGTAATATTTGTAGTAGCTAGTATAAAAATAAAATATTTACTTGAATATACATAGTCTTAAATCTTATATAGGTTCATGATAATACAAAACAGCTTTGAGCAACTGCATGTTTGAACTTTGACATGCATAGCTCGAGAAATGGAGAAAGTTGACACGTTGGGCGCCATTTCACAAAGAGGAGGGAGGAAAGAGGCCAGCAAGCAATTCAATTTATTAGAGATGCCAAAAATTTTGAAACATAGTAGAATTATTAATTAGAGATACCAAATTTTTGTTCGATCTTGTCTTCCTAACTTTTTGTTTCCAATGATACACTCGCACTCACCAGTTGCGTACGGAAAGGCAAGGACAATTTCAGGGAAGTAATTTTTGCTTCTCAAAAAATGAAGTCGCTTAGTTGAACGGACTTGCCCTTCTGTGGACTTCTGGATAGAATATATGCCTTCTCTTCAAGGTCTGCATTCAAGCAATTCATTCTATGCCTGGCCAAATCAAAGCAACCAAGCTCACCTTGACGGATGAGGCATCCACGAATACGAAGGACAAAGAGTATCGAAGATGTACATAGAGGCTTACCATTCAAGTGATCTTCGCAGCAAATAGAACCCGAGATGATTGAAAGTCCAGTAGGTTTCCTGCACTTGCCATATATATATATATATATATATATATATATATATATATATATATAATGTAATCAGTATCAAGTCTGGGAAAAGGGAAGGGGCGATCAGTGAGAGACGTTTCATACCAACTTGCGGTATACATATCATAGAACTTGTCGAAAGCTTTGTCAAAGCAGAACTGGCAAACCAAAAGATCCCTCATCTTAGTCACCTTGCATGTTGATTTGCAGCATTTCACCTGCATTAGTACATGTTGAACCATGCCAGCTAAGTTGTACTCCACTATGCAGAAATAAGTAAATAACATAAACAAGACAAACTGCTGCTCAAACATTCACAAAGAAAAACTGTTGATTCATTCGATTAGTAGATTCTTCTGTTCATAGAGAAAACTTACAAGTCGTTTAAGTTTATGGGAGTAATATTGCTGATGGGATAGGTGCGTCCTGATATGCTCATTTAAGTGTCCTGCACTGAAGATCAGATTGCCTTGTAAGCAAATCTAGCAAAGAGATGGTGTTTCAACATATCCCCTCTACAACAGATGACCAAATCTATAGGCGCAGAAGCAAAGCAGCATCAAAGAGTAGAGCTACTCATACAAACTATGGATCAAAATGTCAAGGACTTGACCAATAAACAATGCCAAGAATATCCAAATAGTACAACCTAAGAGTGGGAACCAAACAATTACTTAGACCTTCACCAGCTAAGTTGTATAACCATGTTAATATTCCAGCATTTAAAATCAATTAACATCTAGCATGTTGATGGGAAGCAATGGATCAAGAATTAGAGTAGAGGGATTAATGAAAGATGGTGGATGCCATTAGAAGGGAGGGGGGGAAAATAGCTGCAGCCGAACAATCATATAAACATGGTACTTACTCATCACAAAAAGAAAGCATTGCAATCCAGACAAGTAGCTAAGCTTAAAGAGCTGCAGCATGAGCTGCAGTTTGCTCCAGATAATTTGTCACCCATCTGATGGCATCTGCGGACGTAAAGACAGCACAACATGGCCAGACACGATTCATGTGAATTCCTCAAACATGAAGACATAAGACAAAAGCAATTTCCTTTTCTTAGGCTAACTAGTCAAGCTGCCAGTGAACACTTAAGGAAAAATACGAAGTTCTGCAAATGTATTTTGTTACAGAATGGTCCAGATGAAGAGTGGTAAGGTTTAATGCGTATTAACATAAAAACAAACCAATGCAGACAAAACGAACCATGCTAGAGACCCATGCAAATAGGGCTTAGCCCCATAGCTTGCATGTCAAGACACCAGCACTGTGGGAGGACATGATCTCAACATGACATATCCATTGCTATCCTATCTATCTCACAAAATAATTACTACCTTCGGAAACTTAACTGCATTCTTACTAACAACTTTCAGCAATACACTTAATAAACACATGTCAAGCAGATAGAACGGAACAACATAAGTTAAGAAGGCAGAAAATAACATTTTAGATACCTTCTGTAAAGTCCACGGAGATCCTTAGATATGGAATTCGATCTCCTAGCTAAAGCCTGCATGTTGCTTACTTTGATAAGTGAAATCAGTCTGCTAGTCCACCTTTACTTCACAAGAGAGCGAAATTTATAATTTTTATTAATTCTGGGCAGAGCAGAATGCCTGACCTGGTCCTCTGATTCTGCCAAACAGTCTTCTGCAAGGTGCCCAGGTTTATGGCATTTCCAGCTGCAGTGCACGTTGGTCATGAGAGCATCAATAAAGTGACACCCAGGAAGATAGGAGAAGAGTTTATTCTGAGTTATCCACTCGCCAGTTGGAAATCAATACCACATTTCAACTGATACTACTGATTTAGCATTATGGGTAACGTGTGTAGCAATATATTTGAAGTACTCAACTTCAGAGGCGATATTTGAGATCTTTATGTCAGAAGGAAAGCATACCATTCATAGGTACAAAGATTTGATCTCTGTTTGGACCAGCAGTTCTGTTTGTAGTCCCAAGTGCCATCCCTAAACTCAGGCATTACTTGTACACCTTGGAGTTTAGATGGGGAGACATCACTGTTAATGTTGCTTTGTGCTCTCTGAAACCACAGACATCATATCAGAGAAAATGCCAGCAAACATCTTTAATATGCACTGTAAATATTATTTCAAAAGCACCTTAGCACATTGTAGCCTCCGTATAAGCTCAGCCTTGCATTCCAGACTACATATATCATCATCTGTCTATCAAGAAAGATATGGAAAGTTCAAGAATTACAGCACGAGGAACAAGACCACATATGCAGAGCAATAAAGAGAAGAAGCATGAGGCAAACACTTCACCTCGTCGCAGATGTACTCCCCATATTTACCGCATACCACACAGAACGGTTCTCCAGCAAGTGGAAACCGCTGTTCGTCTCTTGTCTTGATTTGGTCAACTTCATTTGTCTGATCTATACAGTACACAGAAAAAGGAAATTAGAGTAGAGAAGTGGCATAAATGTAGTATTGAACGCCTGGCCTGCTTAAAACTTCTAGATTTCGACAATAACCATAACCAGTTCCTGCTCGGTCAGTCTGGGAATCAATAAAATGAGAGTTCTATTCAAGTTAATTGGAACACAAATTTACCCAGCCAAGTAACTTGAAATGTCGTACATCAAGAAACCAAAACAATAGTTGAAACAAATCGTTTAAAGGAAGGCACAAACCAGTCTGTGAAGTACCCTCCACTTCAGATTCTGAAGAACTGCTTTCATCGCCTATGGGAATAAGGTCAGAGAATGAAACATTTCGAATCACATTCATTGATACAGCACTTGACTGGAAACACACTTGATACAACGAACAAAGGAAAGGATCAAACAAATGTAAAACCCCAGGTTGCTTACTTCCATAGGCCACCAAATTCAACACCGATTTCGAATTCTCCTGCCACAGTAACAACCATGAAGAAACAATATGAAACCATCCCAGCTCATCAATTGATTCCAACATTTGAACTCCAAAGTTACCAAAACATCAGCACTCAGTGATTCATAAGGCTGAGATGAGCTGGCTTCTTTCCTGTTTGAAGACGAGTCCAATCAATTAGCACTCATTCAAATCAAACAAGCGGAATTAACTTCTGAAGTCAATCTTACCTGATTTTATGACGTAATCCTGGTGAGACATCGGCCGATCATCATCCTCCTCAACTTCCCGGCGCTTGCTAGGTCGAGGAGGTTTTTCGGCGCGAACTTTTCGCTTTTCCCGACCCTCCTTTCCCTCGCCGGTGCGCGGTTGGTCATCGGTCACGGGAACATTTCCGGTTGCAACGTTATAAGCTACACAGGGCTCAAGGAACAGTCCAATAAAAAATTGTAAGAAGTTTGAGCTGTCTGCCTTCTCGATTGATTCTTTTCGATTTAAGGTTTTCTCATAATAGCTATTCCGAGCCATCCAAACAGAAAGTGCAGAAACGTGGGAAGAATTTTACCTTTGAGGTTCTGAATCACAGAAGAGACGCTCAAATCCTTCTTGTATGAGATTGAAGAATTCTTGTAGAAATTCGATCTCGTCGTCATTTTTTAACCTGGCTGCCGGAACCAGCGCCGGTACTGGATTCGTTCGTGGAGCAAGCTGATGTCAGAATCGGTGCTTATGCTATGCCGGGAGGGAAGCAGCTACAAAGCCGACCTTGTGTATTAGTGCCAAACGCTGGCGTTTAAGGAGACCGTAAAATATAGACCCTTGCACCATCAAATTTTTGTACCCTGGACGAATTGGCCATCGAACTTCTCTAAAGTCACCAAACCGGCGAGAAATTGGCAGGCAATCCGAACCTACCTGTCAAATAGAAGAGTGAAGAATCAATCGTAAAGACTTTGCACGAGAAAGAACACACTAGAATCTATCTGCTTTCCAGCTGATATGAATTCTGTTGTCTTCCATCTAATATTTCTCCAGTTTACTAGTCAAACTTGTATAATTCCACGAACCACTCCCTGCTCCAAGTCTTCTGCAGTCTGCAGACTGCAGCACCATTCATTTCTAGTAAGACCTTAGACATTATAAAAGAAAGGAGAAAAAGAAAAGAAAAACCTTAGACAACCTAGTCACCATCACCACTCACCAGGACACCTCTGACTTCGACTTTTATGTCCAAACCAAACAAATTTTCAATCACTGGACTGATATATGATAAGGCAATCAAACCTTTTTACCAGCTTCACCCGAGAATAGCTTTCATCTTGCTAATCTATAGTGACCTTACCCTCAAAAAGCTCATACCTTTGTCTTCCCATAAGCTTTAGAAAACTGACCCAGTAGATACTTCGTTGCTTAGAATGGTGGGTTGCAGTGCTGACGGGGACCTGAATGAAGAAAAGTACACTCAGCCTCTGCCATGGATTGGACTCTATGTAGCAGCAGCATCTCTAGCCTGTGCAATTGCCATGGCTGCAGATTTCATCCACAGCTGCCGTCACAAGAAATTCTGGTTCCCTAATAAGTTCTTCTCCATTAACGCAACTTCACTGACCGTCGTAGCAGTGGCGGTCAAGCTCTCAGTGGATCTCAACACCCCCATGCCCAGCCGAATTGACCAGCTCTCCAAACTCAGCAGTGGTGTGTTGATCTGCGTGGTAATTGCAAACTCGATGCCGTCGCTAGGAACGGTGCAGAACAAGGAAATCATGATGAATGTCATGGCTTTTGCAATACTGGTGGTCACTGTTTTAGTCAACATAGCGATCCAATTGGGCACTGAGGTGATCTATGTTTGCTGGTGGGAGCATGTTGGCGTGATGTCTCTTATGCTGTGATGCTCTTAATCCTGGGCTCATCTGCTTTAGCTGTGGCAACAACCAAGACAGAGTTAGAGTTCATGTACAAGAAGAAATGTGACATGGCTATGCAAGAGGGGTCGAAGGATATGAATAGAAGAACGCCAGAGGAGTTGAAAGAAGACCTGATGAAGTTCTGGATAATGGCACACACCAGCAACCCTCAATTTGTATGGGGCGTTCAGTTACTTGTGCGCCTCAGGTGCACTGTGTCTCCTTGGCACCACAGTTCTTGCAGAGGCAATGCTGAGGTCATTTTTCATGCCAGGATCCTTCAAATTTTGTGCAGGGGAGTCTGACTACCAATGGTCAACGACTTTAGTCCTCGTCGCACAGGCTTTAGCAGTTGGGGTTGGTAGTGTGGCACCAGCAGTCAGGTGGTTCACTTCAGTGATATACAGGTTGCCAAGAAACCGGAAGATAAACTGTACAGGAATATGTTTCAAAGTGGAGAAGTACTGGATTCAGTGTCTAGTAGAGATCAAAGAGTGTCCATTCATACGCATCGAAAGCCAGCAACTCCGAAAACTTGCACATGAAGCAAAGCGCAGTTGCTTGGACACTATTATTCGAGCGCAAATTGGAATAGTAATGGGATGCAAATTGATTCAATTCATTTCCATCTTCTGTGCATGCATAATTGTGAAGGTCTGTGATTCGTGCAGCAAGTTGAAGAAGCTGCTACCAAGTGAAAGCATTTCAGCTGATCAGAGCATGGAGACCAAAAACTTAGATCTAAGCCGCTTCGTTTTGCATTTTGAAGGTGAGGAAGAACTTGTGGAAGTGACAATGAGGAAGAATTGTACTGCCACAGATAACTGGATGCGGGAGGGGGAAAAGAAACAGCCAAAACATCTCACTGACCTGTTGAAAAAGGCAACCTTTGCAGAAGGATTCAAGGGAGTAAGAGAATTCGACTGCGACCAAGTTTGCATCCTGGATTGTGAAGAGCCTCCACAACCTTGGTCTCTTCCTATAGTTACTTTAACAGCCATTGCAATTTCACTCCCAAATATAAGTAGTTGTTCGGTCAAACAGTTGTTGTGCAGTGTACATGAGGGGCTCGTGTATGTCAAACTCATAGAAGAACATTTGGATGGGAAAGAAGAGCTGACTAACACAAGAAGAGCAGCATTTAAAGTGTGGTCGGGTGTCGACATATACCACAAATGGCTGGATGTGGATCTTCATAAACTATCCTTGAAATCGAAAAGCACAAGAGAAGTACTTGAACTGCTCGTTGAAGGTGGAAAGAGCAGGCTTGCAGAGTTTAAGAATGCATATCCAACTGAATGCCCAAGGATCAACCCTTCAGAATGGCACGCCGAGGCATTGGCAGCTAATTCCATGTATAGAATAAGCAGCACCATTCTGAAAAACTATCAGCACTACAACATGGCTCCAGGGGAGAGCTTATTTCCATCACTTGTTGTGCTCATCTCCGATCTATTGGCAGCTTGTCTCACTAACTTGAGACCATTCATATTCAGCAAGTGTTTAAAGACCACAATTGAAGAGAGAAAAGGCAGTGTCAGGGAAGCAGTCTACATCCTTGGCCAGATGGTAGAGATAGTGAAACTTCTTGACCAAAGTTCACTATCCATTGTGTACTCCGACAAAATCACAACCATTGCGGACTGGCGTTCATTGCACAAAGCGATCAAACCTCTGGCAATAGCTCCTCATCCAACAATGGCTGATACAGCTTCAATCAATGCAGGAGAGAAGTACCTAAACATCAGCTGAAATACAGTGTACCCTACGCAGCTAATGCAGGATATTTTATCTTGTAATAAGATTTTCATCTGTTGTTATGGAATATAAGTGAAAGGCTTCAACTACTTTACTACAGCTAACTCTTTGCACAGACAAGTCATTCAGAGGTTATAACTTTATTTTAGCTACTGTGTATCATAGACAATAATGTCAATTTGCCAAAGACCATAGACTATGGATTATCAACCTAGTTGATTAGCTATAAGCTAGCAAGTGAATGGATTAGCCAAGAAAATCAAAGCACTCATAGGCTTGTGTCCTTTTCACAGAATTTGGCACAAACAGCCATTCAGCACTAAAGCATAACACATAGAATTAGAAGCAAATGGAAGAGGTGAAGCACTCCAATGAGCTTCTGCTTACTAAAGCATAACTTACGTCCACTCACAAACTCTTCACCCAATATATTTGACTGTCTCACAGCAATTAAGAAACTGAGTTGTTCTCCTTGAAAGTGAATCAGTCGACAATCATAAACTTATAGGAACAGCAATCTGCGGATAGTAGTATAAGCGAAGACAAGTCCACATTAGCACTAATAACCAGCCGACAACACATTCTTTGCACTCAGCAAATGTTAAATGTTTCCGACTTTGTTCCTTTTGCAATATAATGGCATGAAAATCCATGATTAACAACCGAAAGAAACTTCGGTATACAATGATAGCATACATGGCTTGCTTCTAACTCCATAAGCTGGTAGCATTCAAATTTGCAGCAGAATCTGCTATAATACCAGCATTGTGATTCTTGAAGCGCAACTCAAGCTTAACAAAACACAAGGAAGAAGCTTCTGTACATCCAAAATAGCCATTGGAGTAATGAACAGCATAAAGAGACTCCTGAAGTAGAACTGAAAATTCCGCAAAGAGAGCAAAGTAATTCCATTTATTCACCCTGATTTCCATTGACAAAGTTCGATTTTGAAGCAAATAAGAAACAAAGGTTTAACAAGGGGGAAAAAGGACCTAAACAATCCCCTGACAAAAATTGGCATCGCCAAATCGAAGACGTAATAAGGAAACAACACCGGACCTAAAAGGAAAAGAGAATCAAATTCAATCCTCCACGTCTCTCTTCTTCGGCTTCCTATACGATTCCTCGATGCTTTTGGCGATGGCCACCCCGGCGTTGGCCATCTTGTGAATGTTAGGCACGTTATAGTTCTGAGCTATGTAGATGCCGAAGAACGTACCGAGCATGAGATTGAACCCGCTCCTGATAATCCCCATGGCCGCCGCCCCCAGCTGATTCCCCGAAACCTCCGACGAGTTCTAATCGGAATTCTTGAAACCCTACTTCTCTCGGTTACTCGACTTTGCCCGCCGGAGATCGATTTGTCGACTAGGGTTTTATTTAAGCTGCCGGGGAGGCCTGGCTAACCCCTTCTCCAAGATTTGCTGATTTGCCGGGCAAGCGGGATTATTATTTGTTTTTTGACGGAGGAAGAGAGGAGGGAAAATTCTGGCAGTGGGAGAGATGGGGCCTGGGAGAGTGGGAGGTGCTCGCACGCACGGTATTGGCTTAGCAGCTCCTGCAGGGCCCACTGCGGTTGCTGCCCGTACTAACGTATGCCGCAAGTGGGATCCATTCCAACAGGCCGTTCCGGTTTAGTCATTATTCTGAGTTCCCGAAATCCTGGGCTGGGAAGCCCAAAGACAGAAGGCCAACTTCCGCAGCTCGGGTCTGGAAAATGCGGGCCTAGTAGTTTCTCTAGTTCGGGCCAATTGCTGGCTGAGAGTAAGACCGCAGACAAAACCTCCATTTTTTAGTCTTAGGAATTAGGAATAGGATGCCTCTATTTTCAAAATTTGAACTCAATTTATGTAGTTTGAAGTTTTTTCATTCCTATAATTATTTTCCTGAGCTAAATTGCAATACGCTCGCCAACTAGATCCTAGGAGCATGATGATTAAGGGCATGCGCAAACTATATATATTGCTAAGTCAAGCACCTGCTAATAGTATTCTTACAAAACATGCATCGAGCCAAACCATTGTAAAGCTTGGTTGGTATATACCCTTTTTCCTCGATAATTGGGTTTGCCCTGGATGGAGGGATTTTTTTGCAATTTGTGTTATCTTGGATGTGGTGATCACCAGTTCACCACCCCTTGCCTACAGTAGATGTGGGATCTTCCAGAGTTTACCCAGCTAGCTAGCTGCCGCCCTTTTTCTTTAATCAAACCTGGCTTTTTTTGCTTCTTTCTTGTAACTGGTGTGGTGTGCACATGGAAGAAAGTACATTCCAAGCCGTCCAAATAAGATAGTCTCGCGCTTCCAAAGCTCCACTAAGAAGTGATTGTATGGACCAAAGAAAACGGGGGCATAAAAGTATACATGTTAATGCATAGGATGAGATGGGAGGACCAGTATCGGCTATTGTATTGACATATTGAGAGAGAGAGAGAGAGAGAGAGAGAGAGAGAGAGAGATGATAAGGATGGTGTTCTTGGTTGTATGGAGCCTCAAAGCACGTCATATGACATAGGTAACATGTCATATGAGGATGTGATAATTGTACTCATTTTCAATGAATTGCATAGAACCACAGTTCCATGTCCTGATAATAAAGGTTTTTGAAGTTGACTAGGCTTACTTTCTACTTAATTTGTGGTAACTACTATTAAGAACGTTTCGTGGGAACCCTTGCATGATGACGATAGACACGCGTAAAGCATTACAACAATTGGTTAATCCGGACTTCTATTCTTACGAAGTGTGTATTCGAGTAGATACTTATTATATGATGAGAACGGGTGTTAGCTTTTGCATCCGGACGACATATCTGGCCATAAAAATGTGGTAACAAAAGCTTAAAGGAGACACTGAAAAGAAAAGCCTAGGCTAGTGCATGCGCGTTGTTTCTAAGCTTACGCATAGAGACACCCGAAAATGAAAGTGATCGAAGAAAACAAGAAATGGGAAAGGGAAGAAGTAAGGAAGGAAGGAATCAATATATATTGAGAAAATGAATGGAAGTGGAGAAGAAGATATGGTGACCAAAGCATCTATAAAATTAAAGACTCACCCAAGCAAAAGGTTTTGAGTGACGACAACCTTCACTTTTCCCACCATGCACACGCACCAATCTAAATTACGTGAGTTCTTGCCCTTTTTGGTTACTCAACTTAACTTGCCCATTCTAATTGCACCTCTCATATACATAATGGCATCTCTTTGTCTCCCAACTTACTCGCATATCCATGAACAAAGTCGGATGATCTCGAGTTGGGGCGAGCGAGCGAGACGATTTTAAATTAGATCTGTCTAGCAATGTTTTACGATTTGTACGTAGCGAGGCAAAGTCGGTCGCATGAAATATTTGGAGTTTTCGGTATGAATAAAAAAAACGAGATAATTCTCGAACATTTGAACGTCGAATATCCAAATTCAGGAATAATAATATTACCACTAAACTAAAAAAAATTTGTTGGTGTTTAAAACAGCTGGCTGGTGGAGTGGTCCTCTAAATCAAAGTCATAGCCACAGTTGCATTGCATGGTCCAATACTCTTTTCTACTCCAGTAGTTGTCATGAGTACATCTATCTCTATATCTGTGTCTTATTATTGTCTCGACTCCAGGCCACTCGTAGGATATGGAGTATGGACGCTTCTTCGTGACAAAAGCTTTTCTCTTTTCCCCTTTCCTCCCTCCAGCCCAGCTTTCAATTTCCAAAAGGAGCCCATCATTTGCTTAGCTTTTTCTTTCTTTTTTGTTCTAGGGTTTGTTTGGGAAGTAAGATTGTTATCGGAGAGTGGCTGAGTGAGTGGATTTGAAAAATCCTTGCAGTTTGAGTAGCTTGTTATTTCGTATTTGTTCCAAGATGATAATATGTTTTAAGTTCATCAAAAGGCGGTTCAAGTGATCAGATATACAGGTTGGCACGATTGTTTGATTTTGTGTTTTTTGTTGCTTTGAGAGGAAATTTTGTTTTGGCGGTCTTTGATTGTATAGTAAATATCCGACCCACTCAGTTCATGAGTTTTTTGGGCAATTATGAGAAACGAGATAGATTTGTCACCCTTTGATTCCCATCATAATATAATAATGACAATAATAATAATAATTAAGTATGGAAAAAAATAATTAGTATGAAGTATGTCTGTCTGCAACTCTGCATGAGTTCCTGACTTAGTTATCTACATGTTTTTTTTATAAAATATTAAGAAAATGCACAATCCCTCCTCGTTATAAGTAACTTCAAATCCTAAAAAAGGTGAACAAATTGATTACAGGATCTGAAACTAATTACATCAATGGTCGACTCAACGTCGGGCTTGCCAAATCCCAAATGAAGGAATATCCATGTTCCTTCAGTAAAGATTTGATGAGCTCCAAATTCACTACTCATTCCTTTGTCCAAAGTCCAAATTAAATAGCCCCAAGCCTTCACGGTATAGATTCGAGTAATGTGTCCACAGTTCGAGAGGGGTGATCGCAGAAAGCTGAGATGACTTTTAGTAGCTAAAGGGTTGCATTCTTTTCTGCAGTAAAGGGCTTGGGTTTTCTTGTCTAGAGGACCTTTCAGAAGCTCTTCTATTTTAAAATGGCACTGCTCTCATAGCCAACTTTGCAAATGCATGGTGGTTGGAGACTTTGCCACAAAAATCTGGACACGTTAACTTTTTCTTGTAGGAGATGCTTATTATGATTACATGTACTTTTTGGAAAATGGGGTTGGAATATATTCCATTGATTTTACGTGGCCTGGAAGGAAAACATGAGTCGCTCGGATCAGCGCAGTCGATCCCGCCAGCCATCGCCACCGCACGACTTGCGTCTATGTTAATTTACACCTACGTACGTACAATCCTTCTCCGCTATTTTGTTCTTTTCCTTATCGTCTAATTTTATTTATTGTAAAAAAAAGTAATATGAAATTCATAAGTTAAATACATATCGATTATATTGATGAATCCACCAATAGTAAAACTATTAGTCTTGATGTCATCCAATGGTGTCTGGATATCGTGACATCTCGTATGTTCGTTTTGGAGGGAACGCGAATGTGATTATTGATAAGATAAAACAGGCCGATAAACAAGATAATCATTCTGGAACCATTTTTAAAAAAGTTCTTTGTTTGTTGGCAAATCATAATGGCTTTATGTAAGATTTGTAAGTCATAATAGCTATAGGGTAGGCTGGTAGCCACTAGGTGGCTAGAAAAGTCTTTTAATATAGAAAACAAAAAAAATGCCCCACATCTCACCACGTAGGCCACTTTCCCCTCTATCTCTGCGCTTTTCGTAGTTATATCACGTACTCGCGTACTCCATTTCCCCCTATCTTTCCGCTCTTCACAGCGGTATATATCTCAGCCTCCAGTCTCCACCCCTAATTACTCGTTCCCACTGAAAACATGGCACCCCTTCAAACACCGCCACCATTTCCCAACTGCGCCACCGGAGACCGCCTGGGTGCCCTTCCCGACGACCTCTTCCACCGCATCCTTATCTCCAATGTCGGATTAGTGAAATGGCGGTCTTGCAGAGAAAGATTGCACCTTTCTAACATCGCCTCTGTGGGAGCTTCAAAAGTTGACTTTTTTTGCATTAGTTTAGTCCTTTGCTTCTTTGACTTCAATTAGTAGTGGTCTTTTGAACATTGTCCCGCTTTTGGGAGAAACCCTGAAACTGTTTTCGTTAATGTTTATATAGCTGTAATGACTTCAATTACTTGGATGTTTACGCTGCCCATATGTTTGATATGGATTGAAATTGGCCACAAGGGCCATGGTGTCCACCCCAATCAAAGTTTTTGGGCATAAAATGTACAAATGAATTGAGGGTTTGTGAAAGTAATTGTCGAACAGGATAATTTCGTGGAGTTCATGAATTTAACAAAAATAGAACCCTCTTAGTACTTCTATGTGGATTTCAGAAAACCAATAAACCTTTCAAATTTTGAAGTCTCGTAATTACTTACGAAAACTAATTGGAGCGACCTTCAATCATTCGTAATTTTCATTATCTTGTGGACATAGATTGGGGGATTATCAATACATATACATATATAAAATGGATACCAATTGCGTTGATTACTTAGAGAGCCATGCCATTTACTCTTGTTGATAAATGACATTGTTGATTCACATCCATTTTATAAAACTAAAAAAAGATTACACTATTTAAACAACACATTCTCTACACTACAACCCAGTCCCATAAATATTCCTGTTTTGAAAAAATTTAGTTACATGAAAGCTAGATTACTACATCGGTTATGAAGATATAACTTAATTCACTTCGAATTCTATAAATTGCCTCCACATAAAAGAATCAACTCGGCATTAAAAGAACTAGCCAGAAATCAATGTTACTCACATTCTCTCCATATTTAAGAATCGCGTTGGCATTCAAAGAAGAAGAAAGGAATTTTGATGTAAATTTTATTATTAACTGTTCTTTTCATCGTTTACATAATAGTTAGTCTTCCTTGTCGCAATTGATAATCGTACAAAATGATAAATAACTAATTATTAATGAGGAGCTTCGTCTTAAAAAGTTTAACCCCCCACCCTCAGCCATTTCTATGAAAAAATTAAAAATGATTGTACAAAATAATATAACTAATCATGTCATGAAATGAGCTCCACTCCCATGAACAAAAAAAGTTCCAAAACCATACCATCAAAATGAGTTGACCGGGAAATCCAATAATTTGGGCCCCCTCCTGGGGCTCAGAGCCCATGAACATTATCCACCAAACCTAACCCTAACCCTAACCTGATCATATAAATACGCACCCGACAACAAATCCCTGTCCGAGAATCTCCGCATTTCTCTCATCCCTAAATCCACTCTCAGATAGCTCGTGAGAAAATGGCGGCGGAGGCGAAGAAGCTGAAACCAGCAGCAGCAGAGCCCGACACCGACAGGCTAAGCGCACTCCCGGAGGACATCCTCCGGCACATCCTGATCGCCGCCGATCTGGATCTAAAAACCACCGCCCAGACCTCCGTTCTGTCCCGCCGCTGGCGCCACCTCTGGCGATCCGCCCTCCGCGAAATCCGCCTCGAGACCCCGCGCCGCCGCGAGGCCACCGTGAGAAACCGCCAACTATTCACCGATTTCGTCGACAACGTGCTGGCGGCTCGCGAGCCCGGATCGGAGCTCGCACTCATCTCCATCACCGTCAACGACGCCTTCGACCCGAAGTACGACGACCTCTTGGGCCGGATCTACGAGTACGGGTCGGCCCACGGGGCCCGCGCCTTCCGGCAGACGATCCGGGCCCGGCTCCGGACGATCGTCGAAACATTTCCCTACGGTTTCGTCCACCTCTGCCGGTCCCTCCAGGATCTCGACCTCTCCCTCCTCAGCTTCGATTTCGACGAGCTCTGCCTCCGGTCCTTCAACTTCGCGTGCCTCACTGCCCTCCGCCTCGACCGCTGCGAGCTTTTCGTCCCGCCGGCTCTCTATGCTGCTGTCGCCACCGGCGGCGACTATGAACCTTTCGCGGGGATCCCCAATTTGAAGAAGGTGGTGATATTATATATATTCAGGACAACTGTTATCGTGGTAGCTAACATTAGGCTTTAAGAGTCAAATGTCAATATATACTCATGATATTTTAATCTAAAATTAAAACTAATCAAAACATGCTTACTGTGAATTTATTAATATTATAATGTTGATTATATATATGGATTTCGGCCAAAGGTAACATAGCCTAGTGGTGAAACCACCGGATTAATTGAGCTCTGGACGTGGGAGGTCCTGAGCTCGATTCCTAGTGGCGCCACTTGAGCGTTCCCGGCGGCACCCTTGGTATCGGAGGCTTTGCCTCCCCGATGTTGGTAGCCGTTGATAGCAAAAAGCCCCGGTTAGTATGCAGGTACCCCAGTGGTTTAGTGGGCCCCACTGTCGCTCAAGCGGCACGTGGGGCTGAGGTTCCCGGGTTATCATGATAATTTGTTAAGATTTGCATTCTCTTTATTACTCATTTACAAACGAAATTGAACATTTTTTTACACTAAAAAGTTGCATGATCACATACTTAGCTTGCCCGTATTCAATTTCCATAAAACCCTCTTTCATCAGGTGGTGCTGATCGACTGCGTTTTCGAGGCGAAGAACGCGGCGAAGGTGTCGGGGGAGAAGCTGGAGGAGATCAGGATCGAGTTCTGCTACGAGCCACATCTGTTCGTGATAAAGCTCTGCGCGCCCAACGCCACGAAGCTGACGCTAGGAGGAGTGACTCTGAGTCGATTCTCGGACGTGGAGCTGCCGTCGTTGGAATTTCTGGACATCGACGTCTGGGTGAGGCCGCGGCCGAAGACCGTGGCCGGCCGGGCGAGGCGCGCGCTGCAAGTGTCGTGGGAGCAGGAGTGGGATGCGGGGTTGAGGTTTCTCTCTACGTTTGAGAAGTTCGGGAGGGCGATGTGTGTTAAGCTGCGGCCCCGTGCTATTGAGGTAATCGACTTATAATTAAGATATAGGTTTCATGAAGCTCGTATATATCTAACGATTGAGATTTTTCTTTTCGTGCATGGGTATTTATTGATTTACGATAAATAGGTCAGTTTTATTGGTACGTTAAACTACATGCAAAAAAGGTTTATTACGTACGTAGCGTGTTTGATTTATTAAGTTCCGATTTAGCGAATACACGTAAAGTATCGTAAGGCTTTCATAATACATCCTGATGATTAGCTGCTACATAAAGTTATAGCTATATTATCCATCGTAGCTTTAGCTTTTAATATGGCTAATGTATGTTTTCATATGTTTATGAATCTAACGTAATGTTTTCATATGTATCTCTAGATCTTTTGTTAAAGAAAGTTGGATTTTTTCCCCCCAATTTCTAATGCTTTTATTTGGGTGGTCAGGGGCTGACCATGGTTCCCGGTCTACTGGAAGGACTAGCTTCTCCGTTTAAGAGAATAAAGTCGGTGGAATTCTGTGGCTCTCTACCCTGCTCCAGAAGTGACTTCGTCTCTTTGATTGGTTACTTCTTTAATCAGTGCCTTAGTGGCGGAGCTCATATCTCCCAACATTCTTTTGCTTCACAAGGTACGCATTACAAATTATTCTTCTTGTTGCTTGGTCCATCGGCTAAACTATTCTTTACCTTGTCATTTGTACTAATTGATTTGGTGAGTTTGTTAATTATTTGCACTACAAAAATTAGTATCCCCTGAGTAATGATCATTAAGTTATTTAAAATATACGTCCTAGCTTTTAACTAATATCATTATTTGAATTGGAATTAGAACTGATATGTACATTCTCAGTATAATTTTACGCACGATGATGATCGCAGGATAAATTTCTTAGGATGCATTCGAAATGTTTTTTTATTGTTTGGATGAATGAATTGGAAAATGAGACTAATTGTCTCATTTTACAAATCAAGTCATTTAAAACGACTCAATTCGATAAATTTCTTAATTAATCTTGTCGAGTTTTTTAATTTCAATTGTGGTGTGTGCAGAACGCGGCGTTAACGATCGACTGGTCCTTGTCCTCCGCAGAGACGGCGACGCTGATTAACATGATCGTCTTCCTATAAAAATAAAATGAAGAACAAAAGAGCGAGCCATGCTGGCTAGCTATAGATATGGACAAGTTTTTTTTTATATCCTATAATTAGCAGAAAGACTACAGGAATAGTTATTGGATTAGTACTGCTTCGGAAAACCTTTTCTTTCACCAGTATTCTCGGCACCAACAATGTTTTATGTTGGACCTTAGAACATTGATTGTTTATATTGGGCTGTTTTATGTTCTATTGTAAACTTGATGCATGTTTGTGGAATTTGGTTGTTTAATTTTTATTATGCGTCTGTGTCCTTTTAATTAATTTTCAAGGAATGACATCTTATTTTTTGGTTACATATGTCCCATGATTGATGAGATTGGAATATATATATAGCACAATGATGCTGAATGTCAAAATTAGATAAATATTTATCGATAATTTTGTGTGATATTATTTATGTGAAGCTACATATGTTGAAATGATTATGTAATCACTAGTTCAATCTATCTACTAAATATTCAGCAAATTCAAATCCATTAATTCACTCCAATCCAATGAATTGGCATTGAAAGTGTGATACTGCATTTTAATGGAATTCTCTAAAGTTACAACTTAATACCCACATTTGATATACTTCGCATTCAAATACCTAAAACTTCCATTTGCCTACCCAAATATTTTGATCTAGATATTTTTAGTATGAAATACCTTCTAAAATTTGAAAAAACAAGTATAGTTGTTTTGAGTATCTAAATAATTCAGGAATGCATTCAATCTCAAATCCACGAATCCGTGAATTCATGTAATCCACAAATCACGAACCCAATACATTTGCGAGATGGTCGCATACGTATTGTAGGTATGCTTCTTACTATTCCCCTTTTGGTCTTTCAAGCTTTATATGTACCAGCTCTTGTGATGCTTAGAGCTTTTTTCCCCCCTTTAGTGATGTATGCTAATATATAAAGTTTTAAGTTTTAATTTACCAACATGAATGATTAGTGTTAAATACACTATGACACCATACATACATAAGCACATGCATCATTTCTCCCATAAATCGAAGAAAAAAAAACTTATTAATCATCTCACAACGTTAATATCGAACCTGATTAAACATTTCCCTTAACAAAAAAAAAATTTAATTCTAACTAGTGTCTAGTTCTCTATAATTAACATTGCAATCAATTAGTGCTGTATTGACACAGCACTAACCTCTTCTTTCCTGAACTTCCACATCTCCTTTTGGGTTGAACCGATGATAGCGCAGCTGCTGCCCGCTTCCTCTTCCGGCTCTTGGAATGTGACGGTTCAACCAAGCTGCTATGGGCCACAACACTATCAGTGGTACCATCCTCGTCACTAAAAAAACCCACACGGTCATAGGTTGGAACCGGGATCGGGGTCGGCCAGAACCGGACCTCCGGCTGAAACACATTCCACCGGAACGTCGACTCCACCGGTAAACCGCCGCAAAGCTCGAGCTCCTCACTCTTCAAGTTGCACGAAACAGCGTAACAGGCACCGAAATTGCCATACGCCAAGTACACGATCTCTGGCTTCGATGGGTGGATACCCAATATCCCCTTTACCTCCAAACCATTCATCAACCCTCTCCTACTCGTCTTCTTTGGAAATTCGAATCGCGCCCAAATCGATTTCAACGACACCCGATTCTCCAGCTGCCAAGCCTTCCTATCGTCCAGGCTCCAGACGCTCAATCCATCGATGGAAAAATCATCCTCCGCGGCGTCTTCCAGCACAATCAGATGCAGAGCACCCTGTGAGACCCCAATGTCGAGTAGACTGACCAATTGGGGGGAACGCGAATAGAATTCGGAGTAGTAATCGATGGTTTCCGGTTCTCCATTGATGTCGAACGGATCGTAACCGACCAATTCACGCGAATCCTCGCACTTCCAGTAGAGTTTCCCGTTGAAGCAGGGCAGAGTAATGTGGTAGCCAGGGGTTACATAATGTTCATACCCAACTTCGAAATTGTCGACCCGGTCCACCCACCGGCCCAATTCGGAGCAGAACACTTCGCACCGGTAATCGCCTCCGGTTTTGTACAGGAGGACGACCCTGAATTTGAATTGGGAGTCGATCAAGACCTGGTCTTTGAAATCGCAGTAGCTGTAGCAGGGCTGGCAGACGAAACCCACCATGATTCTGTCGTCGCTGTGGAGTGGTTCGGTTCGACCGGTGTAGGGGGCCAGCGGGAGGATGACCCATTGGTTCGTGAAAGGGTTGCCGACGTAGAACAAATTCCCGACGGCGACGTCGTGCGTCGCTAGCCCACAAAGGATTAGGTCGTCGCAGGACGCCAGGACGCGGAATTGGTGGCGGTAGTCGGCTGGGATCGGGAGGAAATCGAGGGTTTCCGGCTGAGATTGCGGGAAGACGAGGGGGAATTCGTCTTCGCCGCCGCGAGTTGCTATGCGGCGGAGGAATTCGGGGCGGAAGGGAGGAGCGGAGATGAGGGAATTCCACCGCTTGCAGACGGATCGGCAGCGGAATACGGATCTAGGGTTTGGGAGGCGGGTTAGGATTTCGAGGATTAGGTCGTCGTCTAGGTTGTTGATGTGGGAAGGAAGCTGTGATTTCTTCGGTGGTCGTCGGGCGGCGGTCGGATGGCGGCGTGCCATGGCGGTGGCGCAGCGGTGATTTTGGGAATTAGATAGGCTGGGAAATTTTTTGGGAAGATTGGTGTGGAGTGTTTGATAATATAAGATCGATTTCGGGAAATCCGATTTGGAGATGGAAAAGGAGGGCAGTGGAAGGAAAGAGTCTCTGCCTCGTCGGACTTCTGGTGGGTTAATATAAGGCGGGAAAATTGTATTAGGAAAGCCGAATCCGTTCTGGACAAGGAAAAGGATGAAGTTGCTTATGCTTACTCTGTTGGGTCTAGCTAGGGTGTGTATACTCTCAGTCTCCGTTATATTTGTATATAATTAGATTTGTTTGTTTTTCTTTATTTTAAGTGGGTTAGATATAAAAGGCTAGATTAAAATAATTTTAATTTTCTTATTTTTAAATTGATTTGTATCTTTTTTGTTTCAATTTGAATATGTTTTAAAAAAATTGCACTACGGAACGGGTCATCTTGATCTACAAATTTATAACCATTTTTTATATATTTCGAAATATATTTTTCACACCCTCCATAACCACTTGTTGCCACTCTAGTATCGCTTTGTACCACCTTAGTTGTTTAACTATAATAAAATTTGTATAGAAGGAATTGTGATCTATAAATTTATAGAAAAATTTTCCAGGAAAAAATATACTACCAGTCCCCAGTGGTGGACGATAGTTAATGATGGTTAGTCTATTCTCATAATTATGTATGCAAATTTTCCAATATGATATACTGAAATTACTATAATACACTTCCACACTACCATGATATAATTGTATATAGGTTAAATACACTTGTATATCCAAAACTTTCACGGTTGTGCCAATAATATTAAAATTTCCCAAAATACCACTTATATCCAATTCTTTCACATTCGTTAACGGTGTTTTTTTATATACAAATGTATTTAACCAAAAATATATTGAGAAATGGATAGATTTGGCAAAGAACAACTTTAAAACATGAATATAAGTGATATTTCGGAAAATTTGGATATTATTGACACAACAGTGAAAGTTTTGGAGATACAAGTGTATTAAACCTTGTATATACTACTAAATATTAACATTATGATATAGACTAGTAATATATGTCTAACAAAAATATTCTCCAAACATATCAAAGTCGGTTTCATTTTGAGTATCACGATTAATCTGAGTTCTAGTATAAGAAAGTTTCAATTTCAATTTCAATTTAAAGCGAAAGAAATATAATCCATTAAATTAAATTGAAGAAAAGTAATATATAATCAGTAACCTAATTACTACTGACTAAGATCCGCTCGTTAACATGAGAAAATTTGACTCTAACGTTGTGAAAACAATACTCAGTCCCTTCCTTAAAACAAATTCTAAATTAATTTGTTGGTACCAAACTACCAATACAAAATCTAAACATGCACAGACCACAGCTATCAATAGTTTCATGATATATAGGAATATAGGATACCACTAGAAACCAAGATGTACAATATTAGTAGCTTTCCACAGATTAATTATAATGAGTATCTTTAATGATACATCAGTGTCTTCAAGACATTCAAAAATTTCCAATTCAGTAACAAAATATTATTATTATCATCCAATAAAAATCTAATCAACTAAAATACCTTTCTACGAGAAATTGAACCATTCATCTCACAAAATGAAAGTGCAAGTATCCAAACTTTCTTTTTATAAAAAAAAAAAAAAAAGTTCAAAAAGCACTCTCGTCCTTGCGCTCCTATCATCAGCGGCAGATCAATTAAACATCACTTATCATTCAGCAGATCAAAGCCATATCCCTACATCTGATTCTTCCTCCCTCAAATGAAGTCTCCTAAGCAGCCACTTCTTCCTTATTAGTCTCCCATCCCCAATTCCAGAAACGCCATCGCCCTCTTATCATCACCTTCAAGAAGATCATCATACGCATCCAACTAAAGCTCATCCATCTCCTCTGGCCGCTCTTCTTCGATGGTGGTGGAACTAGTGGTTCAACCATGCTGCTATGAGCCACAACATGACTACCTGTACCATCATCGTTAGAAAACTCCACACGGTCATAAGTTGGAACCGGGACCGGAGTAGGCCAGAAAGTGACCCCCGGCTGGAAAACATTCCAACAGAACCTCGATTCTATGGGCGAATCGCCACAAAGCTCGAGCTCTCCACTGTTCAAGTTGCAGGACACAGCATAACAAGCACCGAAATTGGCATAAGCTAAGTAGACTATCTCGGGCTTGGATGGGTGCATACCCAATGTCCCCTTTACCTCCAGACTACTCATCAATCCTCCCCTACTATTCTTTTGTAACTTGAATCTCCCCCACATCGATTTCAACAACATTCGATTCTTCATCTCCCAATTACCCTTATCTCCTAATCTCCAAACACTCAAACCATCTACGCAACTAGCATCATCGACGGTGTGCTCTGCCACAATCAGATGCAGAGAGCCCTTGGAAACCCCAATGTCGACTCCACAGACCAATTGTGTGGGATGTGAATTCAGCAACCCAGAGTAATCGATGAATTCCGGTACTCCATCGATGTCAAATGGATCGTAACCAACCAATTGATGCGAATCAATGGCCTTCCAGTAGATCTTCCCGTTCAAGGAAGGCAAGGTGATATGATTCTGAGAGGTTACAAAATGCTCAATCCCTTCTTGGATAGTGTCAAACCGTTCAACCCACTGTCCCGATTCGGAACAGAACACCTCACACGAGTAAGTACCTTCGACTACGTACAAGAGAACTACCCTGAACTTGAACTGGGAATCGATCAATACCCGATCTTTGAAGCCGCAGTAGGTGTAGCAGGGCTGGCAGACAAAACCCACCATGATCCTCTGGCGCTGGAGCACTTCTTCTCGATCTTCAATTGAGGCCACTGGGAGGTTCACCCATTGGTTTGTGAAAGGGTTGCAGACGAAGAGCCAACTCCCGGCACTCTCATGCCACTTCGTTGTCAGTCCGCAGAGGATCAGGTCATCGCAGGATGCCAGGACGCGGAAGTGATCGCGGTAGTCTTCTGTGATGGGGAGGAGCCCCATGGTTTCCCGGTGGGATTGCGGAAAGAGGAGGGGGAATTCGTCATCGCTGCCGTGAGCTGCTATGTGGCGGAGGAAATTGGGGAGGAAGTAGGGAGCGGAGATGAGGGAATTCCACCGCTTGCAGACGGATTTGCAGCGGAAGACGGATCTAGGGTTTGGGAGCCGGGTTAGGATTGCCAAGACCAGATTGTCGTCGAGGCTGCTAATGTCGGCAGAAGAGAGCTGCCGAGATTTTGATCTCGTCTGTGATCGGAGAGCGATAGTGAAGGGAAAGAAGCGGGGTGCCATGGCGGCGGGTTTGAGAATGGATGGCTATGGAACTTCTGGAAATTGGGAGCTCGAGTGTTAAATCCAGGAGAAAACCCTAAGTCGAAGTGGGAAAAAGAATATAGATAATTAATGATTCTCTGAGGCTTTGCAGAATCTGTTGAAGTTGAGGCGGAAAATCTTGAGGGTTGTTACTTGTTAGTTGCTAGCGCCTGTGATCTTAAAAAAATCAATTTCGGAAGAGAAAAAGATATTCGGTGAAAAACAAGTTTGAAAAAACAATTCCCCAGTGAACGTAGATAATGATCCGGTTATAGAATTAGTGTCGGTTATGATATGGTTGCTAATAAAAATTATCATTGAATTAACTATTAATTTGTATATGTATCTATTTAAATAATTATAAATTATCAAAATAAAACTATGGATAATATTAAAATCCTCGATAAACATTGCATTAAGTTATGGATACCTACTTTTTAATTATGTTAATACTTAATAGTGATACAAACACAATACTTTGAGTGTATAAAAAGAGCTCGAGTCAAATCTTGACCATGACAATACTTTCGTTCGACCAGATAAGATTGTTTGGAGAGGAATAAATCTTTGACGAGCTCAAAACTGCTTGCAAGTCACATGTTGTTGTGCAAAGGAGAGATGTGAAGTTTTCCACCAACGATAAGAAGCGTTGCATCTGTGTGTGCTCACAGGACCGCAGGTTCAACCTGTATGCTGCAAAGCTAAGAGATTGTGACACTGTGAAAAGCAGGACTGGGAGTCTGGAGCATATGTGTGGAGTTGATGAAGACATACAAGCTGCGGCACCATCATTCCTTGCCAAAAAGTACCTAACTCGGTTTAAGGCGGATCCATCATGGTCAATACCAAGCAGTTGACTTTAAAATTGGTTCATGGCGAGGATAGCCTCCAGTTTGGGAAGCTTTATGCTTACAAGAAGGAGTTGGAGGTAAGATATCCTGGCACTACAGTGGTTATAAAACATGCTGAGAATGTTTTCCAGAGTATCTACATATGTTTGGGTCCAATCAAAGAAGGGTTCAAAGCTGGATGGCGGAAGGTGGTTGGTGTGGATGGGAGTTTCCTTAAAGCTATGCATGGATGGAAAATTCTATCGGTTGTTGATATCGATGGTGATGACTGCATGTACCCAAATGCATGGGCAATAGTAGAGAAAGAATGTCATGATACATGGGAATGGTTCATGGCACATTTGGGACAGGACTTACAGATAGATGACTCACCAAATTGGACTTTAATGTGTGATAGGCAAAAAGGTAAATTTCTATCTACTACTCTGAGTATGTGTATGTACTGTAATTGCTTGTTTAATAGCTATATGTTAGAGTTTGTGGCCCAGCTTCTTTTGTTGTCTTTCCTAATTCATGTGGGGAAATTTGAAGAAAAGAAGTATTATCCGTCCTGAATATATCTTGTGCAAAGCAAGCAAAAGAAAACAGTATATATCTAAGGATTGCTATGGACATTGTAATTGCTTGGTTCTTACTGTACAATATGATATGTGATATCTATTTTATCTTGCTTGCTTTTTGGATGCTAGGGTTTGATGAATGTGATGAACTCTATGTACCCAAATGTCGAGCATCGTTACTGTGTCTGTCATATGTTCGTGAACTTTAGTGGCAAGTTCACTACGTCCAAGAGGCTTAGGATAATGGCATCCCTTATCAACATGCCATTGCATGCATGAAGCTGAACAACGATTCTCCGGAGCGGTATATGGATGATTGTTACCGTGTTGGCACATGCAAGAAAGCATACTTTTTTGTTGTCCGCCTTCTCAATGATTCCAGTCAATGGATTCATGATGACTGCATTGAGCTTGAATTGCCTATATTTTAAGAGAAGAAGAGGGGTCCTAAATAGGAAAAGCGGTGTCAGGAAGCATGGGAGGTGGAGAAAGCAAAGAAAGATAAGTGGGGAAGAGCATACAAAGTTATGTCTAAAGGTGGAAGCGAGACGACATGCACAATATGCCACGAGAGAGGACACAATAGCCGATTCCATGACAAGGTGAGAATCTGCACATGTTTTCTTTAACATTAAATTTCCAAAATCTGTTTATGGTTAATGGAAATGATGCTGCCATATTGACATCATTATCTTTTTTCAGAATTCTGGCGGTGACGATGCAGCAGGTCCATCGACAACATCTCCTCAACACATGGAAGCCTCTCCTCCACACATGGGAGGCTCTCCAGTAGCTGCATCTCTTCAAGATGACGAGCGTGTCGAGGGATCAACCTTCATGCCTACTCTAGCATTTATACCACCATCTCAGACCCCGCTTAGGACGAAGGTCAGAGTTCGAAGGGGTCATGGTAGGGGTCGTGGCAGGCATAACCAGTAGTTGAAGAACCAGTAGACATGAAACTTTTGTAAGAGCTGATTAGATCAACTTTTGTGAATACTTTTTTGTGACATGTCGATTGCTTGTTGAACCTTCCATGACGAGCCAACCCATGTCAAGTAGGATCTAATCAGATTGATTAATGTAATCTACAATATGGATGTTTAAAGATGTCGATTGCTTGTTTAAAGTTGCATGTTTGATGTTGTTTTTTTGCTCAGGTTTTAGTGTCCACTATGCTAAAGTCACCCTTTACTGCAGTCTCTGTATGCAATAGATATGTGACCATTTTGTTACAATCACCAAAACATTGTGATCATTTTCTTTCAATGGCCAAAACATTGTGACCGCTTTGTCTATTAGTGATAATTTTATGACCATGTTCTTATCGATAATGAAGATATATGACCATGAAAGATAACGTTGCAAACTTAGTTCGAACAAAACAAAAACAAAATTACAGCATGATTTCATGTTCTACACTACACATATCTACCAATAACGATTCCTACAATCACACAAACGACTACATAAACTAGATTAATTATCCGTGCAAACATATCTTCACTTTGGTTACCCCTTCTAGATTGTCCATTGTTGCGTGCAGTCGATGAAAACGAATTTGTGTCATTCAACATGCTATCTTCCCTTGATCTTCTTTCCATGTTGTTAAGCTTCTTCAACAACCCATTTATGACAGCTCTAGCCCTATCTTCAACTGGAGGGTCGACTCATTCAAAGAAATCGCAGTGGTAAGGTAATTTCTTGATAAAATGAAAGAGAAGAGAATGGTTACCAAATCTTCATCTGGTGAACACAGAAATCAGAATCAAATTCAACATCCTTACCAAGTCATTTCTCTTACAGCGGAGGAACCTTCTACGCAGATTATCTTCCGTCTACGATGTTAGCAAAACAATTCTGTCTTGACACTTGCAAGTAGGCAGGGAACCCATTTTGGTCGGGGGCTTCTTTTCCTTGAGATGATTTTGATTTGGGATTTTAGGGTTTCTTCGTTCAAAGGAAGGGGAAACAGAAGCAAGGTAATTAATGAAGGTGAAGGTTTCTATTCTTATAGCATGTGCATATCAAGCCATCAGGTGATGGGTAAAAGATGGTTTCGAGTGGTTGGGTAAAAGATGGTTTCGAGTGGTTGGAGAGTAGGCTGACTAACTTATTTTTTTAATTATTATTTACAATGATGTGGCAATCTGGATCGGAGTTTTAGACGGAATTGGACGGATTAACCATTTCGTTATTAGCTCAACCTTTTTTACCGAAACATACAAAATTAAAAAATTATGACCATTTTGTACAAAATTAATAGAATTATGACCATTTATGTTAATTTCCCCTATTATATCTCTCCATCATTTATGACCCAAAATTGTAACATACAATACAAATATCATTACTAACTGCAACTTGGATGTGGGCCTACAACAACCCATATCCAAGCCTGAACAAAACGGCCCATATATACTTTTCTAATTTTACAAACTTGGGCTTTTCTTTATTCTTTCACCAAGCCCATCTCCACTACTCAACCTTCACCTCTTTCACATCATTCCTGTTCTTCTCCTTGCCGGTCACCTTGGGAATGACCACCTTCAGCACTCCGTTCTTCATCTCCCCCGTTATCTCATCAACTCTATACCCACTCGCCGGCAAATTCAACCTCGTGTAATACTTTCTCCCCTCGTAATTCCGCCCTTCCCCCTCCGTCGACGATGATTCTTCGACTTCCCCTCTGATCACCAGCGTGTTGTCGTTCTCCACGTACACCTTCACATCCTCCTTTCCCAACCCAGGAATCTCCATGGTTAGGTAGATGTTCTTCTCGTCCTCCCTCACCTGCCTTCCACCGCCGGTGGTTGCCGCCGTGGCGAAGAAAGGGTCCGTCAAGTGGTTCATTAGGTCCAGCATCTGGGCTATTGTCCTTCTTGGCGAAAACGGATCCACCATATCTGTGCACAATACCGGATGTCAAAGCTTGTGAAGCAAATCGAACAAGAAACGGATAGAAACGGTAACTAATTAAATTAATGGGATTTTTAATTTTGTTGTACCTCCGAGGAAGAAGCCAGCTGGAGCAGAGTCTCGCCGGGGAGCCAGTCTACCTGAACGGTTGGAGGAGGAGTCTTCGTTGCGGCGGCTGGGGGCGTTGTCGACCTGAACGGTGTCGTTTTCATCTCCGGCGTACCCAGGTGTTCCGGTGTTGAAGGAGCGGGTACAACCAGCGATGACAGTCGATGGAGATGAGCGGCCGGCAGTGAGCTTCCGGAAGAACCCGGCCGGGGAAGCGGTCGCTTTTCTAAGAGATATGAGGGATGCCATCTATGGATTTTGTGCTTTGGTGGAACTTGGAAGGGAACTTTCTGTTGTCGAGGGGTTTGACATTTAAGAACGGTGTACCGAATGCAAAAAAGAAAAAAGAGTGTTCCAGAGAAGCGGTGGAAAACTGACAACTGACAAGAACTAAGAAGCATCCATCCAATCCCTTCCAATATGTAAAATAATTATATACCAAAATTGTAGTCACATTGATAATGCAGATAGTAACAAACCGTAACATAATCGTGTTCATTCCAATTTTATCGGATGTTCCAACATTACCACAATAGTGACGAATGTGGAAAATATCACCAGAATAGTGAGGACTTAGGGACGAATGTGTAAAGATTATTCGAAGCTTCTTAGTATCAACATTACCACAATAGTGAGGGTCTAATATAGAATTCTCCATAAAGAAAAAAGGATTAGAAAAGAAAAGGAAAAAGAAGACTCTTTAAGTTACAAAAAAACAAATGCATGTCAATCTGAAGAACGGCAAACACCAAATAGCCTGACCTAAGAAAAAACACAAGATTCTTTTGGCTAATAACAGATCCAGTTTAACTAACAAATGGAACCTTAAGAACTCTGTTCATTGGAGTCTTTCTCTTTTTTCGGTTACCCCCTTCATTCTTTGAATGTGGTATGAGAGGGGAATGATGATGTTGAAGACATGACAGAATGATTTTATGTTCAGGGAAGGATGGATGATCTTCTGCTGCGGGTTTACGTCTTCTTCAACAGGAATCCCAACAACATCCCCAGTAATGCCACAATGACGACGAACATAAATGACACTCCACCGCGGCTTTTGCTTCCCTCACGCCTCAACATTTCCTGCAATCAGAAAATCCCCTTTTGGCATAAGACGAATTCTTCCAAGAATCCGGTAGAGACGTAAATCTTGATTCCTTTGAGACCTCAGGCAAAATTTTCTAAGCAATGAAGCACAACACAATTCATCCACTAAAACCGATTTACTTCTGACATTTCTAAACAACTGAATGATATATATCTCATGGCCTTCGAGTGACCCTGTCCTCTGGCTTAAATCTTAGCAAAAAATAATCAATCATGAAAAGCTCCCTTGTGATGGCATTTAAACATTCACAACCATACTGTGAGCAGCTACCCGACAAGACACAGGACATTAGTTAATTCTGTGGTCCACAGTACTACCATATCTGACCTAACAGGGGTGTGCCTTTAATCCAGAGAGAAGAAACCAGAAGGTATTTATCATTTTGTGACTTCCCCCTTATCTACTGGTTGGACCCTTGATGGTATGGCACTTCACAATTGCATAGGGAGAAGTGACAACTCTCGAGGCATCTCACCGAGATAGAAATGTGAACATCATGCATCATGATACTTGAAACCCTAATTCCCCCTTATGTGCACTGACAAATAAAGACCATCAAAAAGAGGAATGGAATGATCAACTTACTAATTCCTGACGAAGCTTGTTGTTCTGCTGAATGGCATTGTTCTTTTCCTCAGTCAGCTTTGAAATAAGGGATTTTGCCTGCCATGAAATCAACATAAGCAGGGCTTGTAACAAAAAACTGTTTGACCAAGTGCCAGGATTAAACGACCAAGATGCTTGCCGCAACTTATCCATACAAAATGAACCAAAAACCATAAAGATGAGGACAGGAGTGGGATTGCTGATATAGCAACATGTTCTCGATGTGGACTGTGGATATACAGGTATAATTAGAGATAATAAAAAAAGCAATAAAGAGCTTCTGCCAGTACAAATATCATGCATTAGCAGCAAGTCGCAAAGAATTCTTTACCAAACAGCATATCAAAGAGGTAAAAACGCAAATACGAATCCCTGCCCTCTCTGTATAGCGACAGAAAGAGAAAACACGGAATGAGGGGTGGAGCAGAACTTGAAACTGCGTCAAACATTTTGAGAGAACCATGATCTAGACAGACAAGCACGAGAGCCATTGCACTACTACTACAGAAGTCAAAGATGTACGCGAATTCAGGCCTCCAGAACCTCATAACGCAGTTTCAGTGTTAAACCACTACCATTAAACTGCCTTAGAGAAGTAATGAGTGCAGCAACAACCAATGGAATAGACAGCAGTGGGGGTTGAAGAATGCAGCAGAAAGCGTGAAAGATTGAGTCTGGCACAGGTAATAAGCTAAAAATACCATTTTAAATGTTCATACTAAAAAATTATTACAGTTTGTCAAAACCTTTGCACGCATCTCTTTTGCTCTCATTACCAGCCATGTCACATTGATAAAAGCGCAACAAAAAGAAATACGTTTCAGATTGTGTTGCCCATTTCTTCACCAGTTGTCAACATGTGGCATGGCATAGTATTAGAATCATGCATCGACTCTACGGATGCATAATATAACTAAATATGTAAACCATAAGATTTAACTAGAAATTTCTTCCCCTATTCAGAAACCACCAACTTCTTAAAGTCCTTACTATACAACCTATCCCAAACACAGATTCCAAATATCTACCCAAACAAAAGATTAACCATTGGATATTCACACACAAATACAGGAAAGCCTACAGGACAAATTATCCTCCATGAGATACAGCTTGAATACAGATTCGAACTTTTACCTCAGGAGACTTCTCATCCGAATCAAATCGCTGAACGAATGCTTTTGAAGCCTGCAACCACGAATCATGAGGCCCAGATGTTCAGCACAAGATAGCACAAATGACATGACCAAAACTAGAAGTACTATCAATAGGAATAGCAAGTACTCACAGCAGCAAACTCAGCACCGTTTACATGTCCATTGTCAGACACGGAACCGCGTGGTGAAGACCCTTCCTCTGAGCCTTCAGGAACAGGAGAAGGCGGTTGAGGTGGAGCTACATATACAACCTTCAACTTGGTTTCCTCAACCTGGTGCCCTGCCTCCTTGTTGAACTACAGAATCCCAAAGTATCCATGATCAATAGCGCCACAAACAAGAATTCTACACAACCAGCAGAACATAAACACAGTAGCAGCAATATAAAAGTTTGTACCATCTCGGCAGTGATATCCTTTGCAGCCGAACCATCGGGAGCTTTTACGCTCTGGAGCAAAAACTTGTCCTTACACTGCATGTCAGCAGGAGCCTCCTTTTGCGCTTGCATCGTAACTGAAAGCAACACGTAGGCATGCCATAAGCAAAGTCGCCCCCAATCACCAACCCACGCCATAAATCCTACCAACAATACTCAGCAACCCACAATCGAATACCACGGAGATTACCTATAATGTCACATGTTGATCGAGGCAAAACGACCCCTGCATTCGGCCGAACGCAGTACTTCTTCGGATTAGTTGTTTTGACCTAGATGCAACGATAATCAGTTAATCACCATTATCTTTTTTTTGGGTAGAAAAATCACCATTATCTAGCACCTTAAGAGATCCCAAAAAAAAACAGCTGACTGGACAAACAAAGAATCGCATATCTACATTCTGCTTTTGAAAAGAGATTTCGAGCTGCTTGGACTTGAATTGCCGCAAAAGGGAAATGGAGCAGAAAGAAAACAAACACAAACAAAAAAAAAAGTACAAGAACTCAAAAGAGAAAGATAGATTCAGAAACTCCATTTTCTCTCCCAAGCAGCCAAACAGAAGTGCCACATCACGGAAACGACCAGAATTCGATCTCCCACCGGACGGACAGAAATTGAAAAGAAATTCCAAATCAAAACAAGGGGGGAAAATCGCGGGGAGAAGGACGAAAGAAGATTGAGGAAGAAATCATCTCACCTTGAAAGCCACATAACTATCGGTTTTGTTGGATAACTGAAGCGAACATGAGATCTGCTTCTTCAATTCAACTGATTCCACAAACAGAAAAAACAACAGAGGTGGGAGGGTCAGGAACGAAGAACCGGCAGAGGTGAACATCGCAAAAGGAATCAACAGAGAGAGATCTGCGGGCGCGGAACTGACATGGAAATTTGAGCTCTAGAGGTTCGATGCTGAGGAGCTCTCCCGTGCTCATTTTCGCTCGGTCCTTGGCCTTTCTTCGTTTGTTCCTCCTCCTTCACCTGAAATTCGTAGGAGAAGTTTTATTCTCGGGGTGGAATTTCGGGGAAAAGGAAAAACCAGGAGAAGAAGAGAAGAAGGAGAGAAGATCCGGAAATATATGGGAAGAGAGAGAGAGGAATCTGTTTTTGGAAAATATTGTTTTCCGGTGGGAGAGAATTTTAAATGAGCGGAGAGATCGAGAGAGAGAAAAAAAGGAGGGGTGTTTGTGTCTTTTACTACTGTTCCAATTTCTCTCTCTACGGACGGGAAACGGTGGCAGGCAGGCAGGCAAACATGAATTGCAAGTTTGCAACTCGATAATGGAGGTTTCTGCGCTGCCGTGGCCCTCTTGTTTTTGTTTTTTTTTCTCTCCGATGATGATACAATCATACGAGCTTGTATCCATACGTAAAACGGTATCGTATTAGTGGTCCGATAGAGAAGAATTTTATCGAAATTTATATTGGTAGATGGTTTTTAATGGGTATATCATAATTAAACCATAATTTCAATATAAAATACCTTAATGTTGATTTTTCCGGAACAACCTCCGGTACGATGTTATAATTCATGGTATTTGTGTATCAATATTGTTCCATTATCTCATTGCCATAAAAAAAAAAATAGTTTACTTTACAAGATGGACTACCGTCCAAATACTGCAGTGCGCCACGTTTGTATTTTCTTTTCTTTTGAGCCGATTGTTGAAACTCATATTTCATTTCCTTCTTACGATCGTTTTGAGGTTTATGGTATGTGAACTGTCAAGAACGTTCATTTTCTAATGAAAGAATGTTTATGGAGTTTGTATTGATTGAATTGCTATATGATTAGATGAATGTTTTTACATAGGACCAAACTGTCTCGATGTATGGGTAGGAAGTGGAAATCTCTCATCAAACCGGTTCGCCAACAAAAGAATGTAGATTTTATAATAAATTGGGCCATCATTAACACTCATCCTCGAATGAATTGAATTACGTGGATTTAACGGTTAAGAAAATAAGTGGATATGTCGTCGAATTTCTCATATAACTTTATTTATACGAAGACGAAATTAATCGTTCCACTTTCTAGAAAATATCAAAATACATAAAATCTAAAGAAATTAGAAATACAAAAGATTATGATACGTGAGAAATGAGGAAATAGTTAAGGGAGATGTGAGTTTAGACTTTAGATCACCTCTAGATCAACCGGCAATCCATTACTGCTTAAAATTTAGTTACCATAATCACCTTTAAACTTTGAGGTGTTCTTCAGGAAGAAAAAAGTCAAATAATCAAAAGTGTGCACTAATGGGATTTGAATATTCCACAAAGTATGCAGTACTAATTGAATTTGAACAGACGGTCCAAGGAGTCATAATCACAATTAACAAATAAATTGGCTATGCTGCTTAAGCAGTTAAGCCTAATCATACTCCCCACGTGTATCAAACATGCCTATTTTTAATTGAGTAACCCCATCATAACCATTGCTTACCAATAGTGAATCATCATTCAAATATATGTTAAATCTATTATAGTTGCGAGAGTTCTCGTATTCGACTCGTCGTGGTAATTATATATCCATCGTTTTATTGGATTTTTTGTTCAATTTTTATGATGTAAGAATGCAATGTTGGTGGTATGACTTAATGTGATGTATTTTTTTTAAATGAAGGTAGGGTAAAGGAGAAATTCTCCTTTGTCTTTTGAATGAATAAAGGAGGCGGGGATTTGGATTCCTTTTTACCAAATTGTGATTGTATATCATTTGCCACAGCTTTAAGGGAGTTTAAAGAATAGAGAGTTTAAAGAATAGAGTTTATGGTTTGGAAAGTGATGCTTTCCTAAAAAATTTCATTTATCAAAAAGATGCTTTCCTAATTAGTTACAGCTTGTAATTTTAGATGCCATTTCTCTCTCAACAGCCTCTCTCTCTCTCTCTCTCTCTCTCTCTCTCTCTCTCTCTCTCTCTCTATCTATCTATCTATCTATCTATCTATCTTATACCTTTCTTCCCTCTCTGTTAAGCAAACCCATTTGGTAGCACTAATACAACAAACCAACAAATAAAGATCATAATAGCCTTTGATGGTGGCATGACATTGTATATATGCAAGAAACAAAAGAGTGACACAAACTTCAAGCTAGTGCTCTTCTCCAAAGTGCAGCTTTTGTCCAATTTGGGCAAAGGAAGCCACTGTATGGAAAAAGATAGATGGGGGTTGCAGGAAATTATGGGGGCACAAAGATGCTATGTTCTACCAAATGTTGTTGGGTGGAATAGGAAAAAACGCCTCCAAATGTCCATAATGGTTATTGAAATTAGTCGGCATCCAACACGTAGCTGATGCATTCATTCATTCTCTGTTTTTACATTGAAGTGAAAATGATGGGGGCTGGAAATTCCAGTTACAGGAGGGGAGGTTCATAAGCTGGAATATCATAATAAATCCGAGACTGGATGGTTAATAAATTATATAAGATTAGGAATTGGATCTTGATAAACAATTTAAGTTATCGAGATCAATAGTTTGAGTTAGTGGAATTACTGATTTCTAGCACATAGATGATTGTCCGGCTGAGCTTTACAAGGCGGTATGGGCAACATTTGATTTGCTTTGTTGGTCACTCTTGATCGACTTAGTATTCAGGATTGTGTGCACGCACGGGGATTCAGGGTGAATCATCTTGTGTATTGTATGTGTGTGGATGGTATGATTGAGGGTTATAAATCACACTTTTTTTTTTTTGCTAAATGATTGTTGTTTTCATATTTACTCGAGAGCCTTTTTGTCACGAATAAATGGCGTGAGTAGGTTTACGGTGTTGGTGGTATCCCTCCTCCGGCGGATGACAGTTTTGTTGCTTTGTTGGTTACCCTTAATCAACTTAACGTGTATGGGAGCATACTTGCGGCAATCCTCTTCTTGTCTGTGTGGATGGGATGTTACGGTTGAGACTCAGAGCTCTTGTTTTTCTTAACGACGAGTATTTTCTTATTTATTCTAGGGTTATCGACTGATGAATTGTGTGAGTAGGTCTTCATACTATATATTCTCTCGTACCTACTAACTTTCAGCAATATTCACAAAAAGTTTCAACGAACATATCGATCTTTTGATATAAAACTATCGCACACGCGTTTGTTGAGAGGAGAAATGCAGTATGATTTATTGTGATCCTCGATTAGACACGTATCGAATAACTAGAAGAGGATGGAGACAAATTTTGCGTTACATGTCGCGAGTAGTCTACATATTACACATCAGCTAATGAATTAGAACATTGGTACCAGCTAAGTTCACTTAGGCTTGCAGTTGCAATTGACTTGTGTATACCCTATTTGAATTCACTTATCATGCTTTTGCTGCAAGTCACTTTTGAGAATAGATCATTGTTCACCAAAAAGAAGAAGGAACAGAGAAAAAGAGAGTGAAGTACCAAACCACCCTTGAAGTGCATGGTTTTTGGGAGCAACAATGATAATGACATAATAATTAATCTATGCAGAAGTTGAGGGTTTGATGAATGTGCTGTGAAAGTCCCTTGACTACCTTCTTGGTATCTTCAAGAGCTGTTTCCAAGGCTTCTAGTTTCTGGGCAAAACCCAAAAAAAAAAGGTCACTTCTTTTTGGGAAAACCATTTGAAGAATATTAATTTCACCTTGACCAGCCAGGCAAGTTGTGTTATTATTATGTTATGTTCACATAGATTGACCAATGTTTTTCACTCACTGTGTTGGCTTCCAGGAGTGCAGCTTCCAATGCTTGAATGTTTTCAAGCTTCTTAACCACTTCTTCTTGCCTTCTCTGATCGATTTGGCCACTGCCCGGTGTTGCCTGGAAGAAAAGAAGGCAGAGATTTTCAGAAAGTGAATTTCTCTCTTAGAGGATCGTTTTGGCTTTCGAATCACTCGAGTAAGGTGAATGTTATCATTCTTATATTATGATCGATTTCTCGACCTAAGAATCTTTACTTACTAAGCCGTCTTCTGAAGCTAAACTCGTGTTATCCGCATCATCGTAGCCTTCTTCAGTTACAGCAAGTACCTAATGACAGATGAGAGAAGGATACAAGTTTTGAGAATGCTTCAATTTGTCATTGTGTAACTAAACTATTCAGGGTAAAAATGTAGGAACTGAGGGTGATGAGTAGAAAAAAACCTGAAGCAAGTCCTGAATTTCAGGGTTGTTCCATGGCCCTTTATCACTAAACAAGCAGCCACCATGACCAGAACAGCTGCAGCTTCCTCCCAAAAAGCTTGGCAAGTTGCTGTCTCAGAAAGAAAACACCAAACCCCACCTTTAGGCTTTAACATAAATTCCTAAGCACCCTTTCTAATGTTCATTAAGGCCATCATAATAGGCAGAGTTCAGGGCTTACCTTGGATCAACAGTTTCAAGAAGTTCACTTTTGTAGCTATCTCCCAACACCTGAACAGAACATTGTTGAATAAACCAGAGCTTTTTTTTCTTCTTTCAAACATACTTCTGCTTTATGGAAATGAAAGTGAGAAAAATGATGTCGATCTTGCCTGAATCTTCTTCAATGTACGGACATCAAGAAATGGCTTCAGTACTTTCCACAACATTCTGAACCCAGATCCAGCATTCACTATGTACAGCCGATGCAAGGTCTGTGTTCAGCAGTGATATGCCAAAGCATTATAAGTCCATCACAAATAAGCATTTAACTGATAAAAGTCAATTGAATTGGAGACGAATGTCAGTTTTTCCGAATAATTCAAGTTGTTGGGAGTTAAAACTAATGCCTCTACAATAATTTTTTTTGTTTAAATAAGTCTATTAATGTTAAGTTGTTAACTAGTATCGTTAAAATTTGAATACAAGGGATCAATAAAACCCTAATATAATGTAAAAGTCGAACGAATCTTAATGACTCGAATTATTACGACACATCAAAACAATCAATCCGATATAATTTACTTAATAATAATTAGCAGGATTAATTTATTATTAACCTCTGGATAGTAGTTGCTGTCAATCTTCTGAATCTCCATGAAAAGGTACCTAGCTGGCTTGGAGAAACTGGACATTCCCTTAACCAACATTTACAAAAAGATCCAAAAATAAACAGCATTTAGATCCAATTCTGCAACATGTCACTTTTGAAGTTAAGTCTAGTCTCATATTTCAGAACAAAGTTCATACCACTCCCTTCACATCCAAGATGCTGGTGGTGGAAGCTATGTGAGTCTTGGCTATGATTGAGCAAGCAGGGTACCTCAAAATCATGGTCTTCT